CAAACATTATTTCAATTCAACCTCAATCTATGTCCTGCGAAACATTCTAATCGTCAGCTTAACAGGGTTTCAGGAGAGCTAGATGTTAAATAGGAACTGTTTTGCTTGTTCGATGATAGGCCTTCAAATATATACAACAATAATTGCGCGTGTCTTATCTCGACAACCTGTCTACCTCTACACGGGCATGGTTTGTTGGCAAAAGTCATGGAAACTTGAGTATATGCAATCAATAAAAAGTGTCATTACATCAGGGATGCTTCAGAATTCTCTTTTGTTTATATGTGGCGGCATATAATGTTTATAGAATTTTCACATTACTTTTTGTTCCTAATCCTACTAATACCAGTACATCTGTAGCATGACTGTTCTGGATCGGATTACGCTTAGGTAATGCTCATGTCGACCTTGTGACAAGATATATCTGTGAATGAGGAGACACTACGCTCGTTATCACGCTCATATCTTATCATTTTACCACATATCTAATTAATATCTAAAGACTCGTATAACGTATAACATATATATTACACTGTACGTGATATACAAGATATATTATAAAATCTTATCAAAAACAGGATGGACATAGCTTTATGATAAATGTTAAATGGACCTTCCTTATATTCCTACAGAATACGATCTATTCAGATCTTCATCCAGTCGTATTTTCAATTAGTTACACACAGCATCGCATTTCTCCGTATTAACTGTACATATCAGATAGCATGCGTGGCCGTTAACACGACGTTTCTGACCGGTGACTACCACGTATGGTCAATCAGTATTGACATGCTTTCCCCGCTGGTAAAACTAATTTACCAATTCGTCGGCATTTGCCGCCACAAAATGACCTCGATGTGGAAGTATTAATGGTCATTGTTGATGTCTATTTCCATAAAAGAGAATATCCGAGCTTAACCAAACCCATTATTTATGGTTGTCAGTCGGTAAATAGTTTCAGAATCATTCCACTGCGCGTCAAATCCATGATTATTGAAGGAGTAACAAGGTCTCAATAAATTCTTCTAATGTCGGATGTAAAACAAGCGTGAACTGTAAACAAGATGTATCTACAACAGGGGTTGAATACAACTTTATATAAATGTGCGCCTGTTGACAAATGATTTGTGCCTTTGCATCGTTCATACACAAGTCAACGTTTTATCTTGGTGAGATCTCGTTCTTTTTAAGGAATGACCAAGATTTTGTTTTGGTATATACGGTATATACCGAAAATAAAAATGTGTACTTTGCAAAAATCCGCGAAGCGGTTTATGCAAAAAAGTACACAATTTATTTTCGGTATATACCGTATATACCAAAACAAAATCTTTGGCATTCTTTATATTTTAATTTAAAAAAAGTAGATAAACACGTTGTAAATACACAGTTAAAGATTTATTTAATTTTTATGTAAACTAAACAATTGCGCTAAAAAAAACTGCGTTGTAATTTTGCATTCTGAAGTGTAAAAAGTAGTTCCGTCATCAATTGTTTTTCTTTTTAGGTATATACGATATATACCAAAAGAAATATGATGGGGAAGTTAGGCAAAATTTAATTATTAATAGCATAGCTACAATATCATGGCAATATCAGAGCCATGCATGATAGTAGCTTCTGATGTACACGTATTAACCTTTATATGGAAGACTCGACTTCACGGTGAATCCAGCCATGTTCCTTTTTTTATTTTTTTACCCTCAATAACGTCACAATGAAATATTGTATATACAGTATCAGCAAGTACATGTATTAATTAAAATCAAAGCTGTTCCAATTTCAATAAACTTCAAAGACATTAACTTGTTTTCGGTAATCACCTTATTGACGTGTTGAAATATATGAAGATTAGTTGTGTATAAGAACTTCCTAAATGAATTGCCGAATTTATATATAAACAAATAAAACAGCGACTAAAAGCAATGACAAACCATTGGCTTCTATGCTTTTAAATGTAAATAAAGACTTAGGAGTTATTTGTGTGTACTTTTCTGTCGTGTCTGGGCAGTGACGAATATTATACGTGTGGGCTGTGGGTGATCTTTGTAATGAGTTTGATTGTAAAGGGTCATTGTCACGAGATCACCCTCACAAAATCGTGTTGATGTAGGCAGGAAAAGACAAGCATGGCGATAGCTGACAGCGTAGGAAATGACTATATCATGAAGAAGTGCAAACGTTGCTCGCGAAATCATAACTGAAAAAGACATTGTACATTAGTATGTCCGAATACCTAAGTTGATTAACTGATGAAAAACCTTTGATTTGTTACGCCGCGTAGTTTGTTTAATAGTAGTTGTTATAAACTTAAAACAGTCGAACATTGAAGCTATTTTTTTGTTAGAAGACGGGTTGAATCAGAAGTTCGTGATTTTAGGCAGCGGGAGAGCTTGTCTGCGTTTTCACAGTTTCAGTGTTGAGACGTTGCGTGTGAACTGATTTGGCTACAAGGAAGCAAAACTAAAGTACACGTATTTGGGAAATTGGTTGTAACCGATTGATTTACGTTTGCATGTGTTCTGTGTTTGTTTTGGTGTTTAATTTCTACCAATGCAACGCTGTCAGAGTAGCAAACGCTGTCAGAGTAGCAAACGCTGCTGCGATATCTATCACCAGTGAAACTGCTTTCCTGAATTGAATCAAAAAATAAATTTAACAAGAAAGATATACTGGTCGATGGGTATCGAATACTGAGCTAATGTGAAGCTAACCATGGTTCTCCCATCTAATGAGATACCTATGGAAAGTATAGGTTATGGATCCTCAAACTTGTACACTAGACAGACGTGATAATGGGATTAAGACTTACACAACGCGGGGAAATAGGCGTTGTCCAACAAATTGTTGTCTTTAAGAATCATTTTGAGAGAGAATTCTAGAATGTCTTGTTCTATTAATTTTGGTGGACAGAGACTGAGCCACTATGGCATTTTATGGTGCTGGGTTACCGAACTACTCGGTAGTGAAGTGGACCTAAGACCAATTAACTGTGTACTAGTTATATGCTTAACTTCTTTGAATACCAATCAAATTGTATTCGAGTCATAATACAAAATGACACATCGTTTTACGATCCATTTTCAATACTATATAAAGACATGTTTGTAGATATTGATATTTAGGGGTAGAACTTATCTTCATCTGGCCAAACAGCTGGAAGTGTTTATATTCGTGATAAATGTGTTACAAACGCATGACTTCACTTCTATATTCAGCATGCTATTATTGAATTCCGGCTATCCAAAGATTTGGTACATTGTTATATATCTGAAATGAGCATCTATGATAATGTTCAAGAAGTAGGGTATTAACCCAATTACCAAGATTAACCTATATACAATAACCTGGCTAAACCTACCACGTGGTTTGAGTGAGCTTTCATTGGGCACACAGACATTATAACTTTCTTGACTTCATTGTATTGATTAATATATACATTAATTGTATATCTGTAATTACTGTAAAGCGCTTTAGAGTGGTTTATGTTAGCTAGATAGGGCACTATATCAAATGTTGTATATTAAATTATTAAATTATACCTCTAGTACAAATCTTATAATCTGATTGGTAGTTACCAATTGTTATACATATAAACTTTATCTATTTTACAACAATCATGAAACAAGTTATTTCTACTTATCTTGTTGGCCCAGAGGTTAGCGCGTGGGGAGTATAAGTGTGGGAGGAACCGGAGAACCCGGAGAAAACCCACGTCGCTATCCAATGCACCACCCGACTACCACCAATTGTTCATTGCACACTGTCATATTCCCTTTAACATAAAGAGAATGGAAGGGTGCTTCCCAACGCCCTAGCAACGAGTGACAGTGTGTGTGACAGTGCAAAGTAGAAATCGCGCAAAGAATATGCTTAGTTAAGATTTCCAAGCGCTAGAAATGGCAAGATTTGTAAACTTTGTCTTTCGGTTTAAAAAGAATAGAAAAAAATATATTCATAAAAGTGTGACAAAGCCCTAGGGTAACCCCTCGGATATCACTGTCACCTTCGACTTCGCCTCGGGTGACAGGAGAGACTCTAGTCACTGCCACACTATTATAAATGTAGTACATCATGAAATACACGTATAGGCTATTGTTTCGACCGTTTTCCCTAAAGGGGTTTGATACCAAAAGAAGTGTCATTGCTATGATAGGATGACTGATCTACGGATTGTTCTATCAAATCAGGAAACAAGAGTTTGTATTCAACTTTTGGGATATCAAAAATACAAAGAGTTATGTCTTTCCGAAACATCGTTATCTACGGAATTATATTTACATTTTGGCAGCAATCAACATCATAAGCATCACAAAAAACGTAATGTAACATGTGGTTTCTTTATAAAATCATATGTAAATCTTTGACGGTGAGACCATTGTTCATTACCTTAAGATAACGTGGAGAATGTGGAGAATTTCTCAAAGACTTAAGATCAATTACTGTCACATATTTCATTCTATTGAAGCAGTTATGTCAATGCCGTTTTATAATACATAGTAATTTTATTGATAAATTAAGAAAATATAAAGTTTATTTAACAGTATTGTTATATAAATATGGATATAAAATCGATTTTTTAAAATATTGATGCAGATATAAAGGCAATGAGGTTACGTCCATTTTAATATGGAGTCCTAGAGAGTCTCGTGCAATATGAGTCCAGTCTCTAGTACTCAATACGCATCATTGTTTCCTGTTTTACTAGTACAATTAAAACTTTATAATTGGTTATTCGTTTTATTAATTTTATTTGTTAAATATATATGGTTTCTAGTATCCAGTCACTGGCGAAATGACGATTTGCAACTCTGTGCATGTATTCAATAGATATGATATTTGACAAGTGTATGTGATCAGGCAAACCAAAATGAACATTTCGATAGAAATATTTCAATTCAAGGATATATATAAGCTGAAAATGTCACACATATTTTAGGATTATTCACCGGCATTCCGAAACTTTATTTATGCATTTTCGTGTTCAAATATATTTTCAGAGAAATAACGAAGACGCACTTCGACGGACTAACGGGGACATTAGAATTCGAAGCAGATGGCTCAATAAATATTTCTAACTACGACATCAGAAATTTAGTGACTAGCGGCCGCAATAAAGTGTGGCGAGACATGGGCTTCATTCGAGGGCACAATATCAACCCCTTCGGCATCGTATGGCCCAGTGAAACCATCTCCAATCAAATTTTCAATGGTAAGAAGCGGTACCGTATTGTCACAAACCCCGTGAAACCGTTTGTGATGGAGCAGAAACCAAATCCGGATTATGACGGATGTGCACAAGACACCGTCTGTTTAAAGATATTCACAAAGGAAAAACAAGCTACCATCCGTGTCCTTCGTGATTACGAGAATGGTAGGATAAACAAGAGCAATCCGTACGAGGTGCGTTGTTGTCGAGGTCTGGCGATAGACCTGCTTAACAGACTCTCACGAGATCTCGACTTTGACTACACGTTGTACATTGTTGGTGACGTCACGTATGGAAAAGAGATAAACGGAAGTTGGAACGGAATGGTCAAAGATCTGATGGTGGGTTCAGCTCATATGGCCGTGGCTGCCTTTAGTATCACGCGCAAGAGACTCAAGGTCATAGACTTTACTCACCCTTACTTTTTCTCAGGTTTTTCAGTTCTTTATTCAGAAAGAAAGCGTCATACCCGTATGCACGCCTTTCTAGAACCATTTGCTGTGGAAGTGTGGGTCGCAATTTTCATAAGTGCTACCATTGGTGCTATAGCCATGGCACTATTTGAGTGGAATAGTCCCTTTGGATTAAACCCGTGGGGCCGGAAACGGAAACAGAATTATACTTTAGCTTCCGGATTAACAATGGTGTATTCGGTGCTCTTTGGCCACACGGTTCGAACCAAATCACCAAAGTCGTGGCCAAGCAAGGTTATGCAGAACTTCTGGGCATTTGCCTGTATATTTGTGATAGCCAGCTATACAGCCAACTTGGCGGCCTTCATAGCTGGGAAGCACGCGGGGATCAATTACCAGGATATCTACGACTCAAGGGTAAGTAATGTCATTGTATTAACAAGCATTATGACTAACAAAAGGTGAATGCCATTTCCGGTATTCATTGTATTTTCAAATTCTATACAATAATGTTATCCATTAAGATACGAAATTCAATTATTCATATTTAACAAAGATCAACTAACGACCATATCTACCATGTTGCAAGGAAGTGAATACGCCGGGGTAAGTGACTGACCAGTACGTCTCCTCGATCAACATATATAGTTGCCAGAGCGGTTCAGCTCTCGGGCTTAGTTCTCCCTTCACCCACTATCCTTGGAACTATACAATCTTCTGGCGATATCCGATACTCGTAATGCTCGCGTAAAGGTACATACCGGGAATGAGATTAGTTATTGAACCAAAGCGTACAATGACAGATAGCAGCATGAAGGACATTGCCTTATATGTATTATTTCAGCATACTGTTACAGGTACAATGTATGTACATGTACAATGTTTTGTAACCAGGGTTAAGTTGAATGGAAGCATGGCAAATGTCATTCTCTTACGTCTTTGATATTTTTCACGTTGACAAGTTATGTGTGATTTACAGATAAAGTAATTGTTCTTTGAGTTTTTTAAGTTTAAATTTAAGTACCGCTATATTCTCACGGGTAACAAGGCCACAAAATCACTTTAGTATGACAAGTAACAAGGCCCCAATATCACTTTATTATGACAAGTAACAAGGCCCCAGTATCACTTCATTATGACAGGTTACAAGGCCCAAGTATCACTTTATTATCACGAGTAGCAAGGCCCCAGTATCACTTTATTTTGACAAGTAACAAGGCCCCAGTATCACTTTATTATCACGAGTAGCAAGGCCCCGGTATCACTTTATTATCACGAGTAACAAAGTCCCAGTATCGCTCTTTTATCACGAGTAACAAGGCCCCAGACTCACTTTATTATCACGAATAACAAGGCTCCAGTATCACTCTTTTATCACGAGTAACAAGGCCCCAGTATTGCTCTGCTACCCAGAATACTGAGGGCTCACTAGAGTTATGTAAATAAAAAATCATTAACTCTGTAGCAACTTTATTATCAGGACTGACGTTTCCTTCGTATCGCTCGCAGTCCTGAGAGTGTCAGAATTGCTCTTTTACCAGGAATACTGTGGTCTCAGTATTTGTCTATTAGCAAGATTTACTGCATCTCAGTATTTTTTACGCACGTACTCCCAGTGTAGCGAGGTTTGTGTATAGCTATTATACCCAAAGTGTACTCAGGTTTGAGTGTTGCTCTTCTCATATCACAATGTTGATTAAAACCTTCTCAGAAATTCTTTTATAATCAGAATTAATATTTCCCTTCAAAAGATGAATGGTACATCGAATCAATTGTCAAACCAAAATTAAAATTTATCATTTTTTGAAAAAAATAAAACTATATTAAAACAAATCATTCTGGTACCGCTACCCAATTCCGATAATGTAATTTACACGGTTAAACAGAACCATCACGTTCGCTTCGGTAGCTGACAGGATAAGTTGTAGCCTGATACCAGGCTTCCAATCTATTTGTTAAAATGGCTAAAATCATATCTGATGCAGTTACCAATCCTTAATGGTGTTTTGTTTATACGAAATGTTTCTTTCAATTGTCTGCATTGAGATATCAATATTCATTGTATATGGCATTCGTTATGCAATACGTGTGATGTTATATATGCATCAAGCTTTAATGAATTACAGTATTGGAACCAACTTTATTAAATTCCATAACTTGTGACCGATCCCCACTTTTAATTTTATAAAGCAAAGCAACTCTAAATAATGCAAGTTCCTCCTCAGTAAATAGTCCGAACAAAGCTACAAGAAACTAATTTTCACCTGCAATGTCCTAGTTAATTACAAATTCACCGCCTTGGTTGTTCAAACCAATATAGCTCAGATTTGACCTAACAGTAAATTGCTATGTTCTTCAGCTCGCTTCACAAAGATGCACCTACCAGTAAATTGCACAGTACGTGTTTTGTTCAATCCTTTTCTAAACATAAACATCTGTATACTAATGAATCAAATTTTATCAAAACTAATGAACAGAGACAAAAAAAGACACATAAATTAGATAAGGCAACAGACACAGCCGCATGTCCACATCATTTGCTTTACCATCGAGACACTGTAATTTTGAATGACAAATCGGTCTGATTGTGATGTCACCTATTGGCGCACAGACTTTATAACACAAGACTTACACTGTCCAGCATTGACCAGGAATGATTGACGGTATGAAGGGCTCCAGGTTCACCGACGGAGGAGCGTTCGTTTTGTCGACGCAATTAACGTGACTGGAAATCCGCCTGATGCTCTGTGATGTAGCGTTGAGTGCAGAACTAACCAGATTTCTATGCGGCTGTTTCCTAGATAAGCATCTCTGAGGCCTCATGTCACCATTTGACATTTTCATTTAACCGGAATGATATAAACAGATAGAGAATGCCAACGATTTAATTGATTTTGTCTCAAGATACATCGTTGTTTTTCCGAGTATTGAAAAGATGTTTAAATGACGAACCAACGGTGATAGAGAGAGAGAGAGAGAGAGAGAGAGAGAGAGAGAGAGAGAGAGAGAGAGAGACCTTCAAAACATGACGTTGGCGTTTTGAAGGATATTAATAAATAGAGCGAAACATATTTAAAAGGTAAATACATTTCCCCACATATACCGTTTACGTGCAGGTAAATAGTACAAGATGTACTAAATAACAAAAACGTGCTTGAATAATTCATACACTGGTCTTCAACATGGTTTATTGTAGAGTAATAATTATCTCCAAATATAAATGAGTAACTTGGATATTGACAGAAACATACAGACATCTCCTTTTACGTATAGATATGTCTTCCTTTAAACAGGTTTTCTTTTTTAAGGCCATGTTTGTAAATGTGTCTCTCTTTAAACTTAAAACTTTTTTGTTTTACAAAAATTATGAAACATGTCATTTATATCAACTTGTTCTAAGCCATTGTGAGGACACTAACCAAGAAAACAAGAAGCCAACATGCATACCAGAATATTGTCTATTCGAATAAGGTTAGTAGGGCCTATAGTGTTCGAGAGTTTTTTACACGAACAGGATGAGCTCAGTGGCTATGAACTCGTCTGTATGGGGTTATGACGCGTTAGGCGTACATTGGTGGACAGATTTACCGTAATATGTGGCAATGTCGCGTCCAATGAGCCTGACATTTCCCGAGGACTCGTTCGCTGTCTATCAGATTCCCTACAAATGTCAAATGTACAGGCACACCCCAGGAGAAATAAAAAGTGTATGGCAGCCAAAACCAGAAATGTGTTTTAACAAAATATTCACGGGCATTCGGAGGGTTATACGCCATAAATAGAGTCAGTTGTACCAGACTTAAACGTTGCTAGGATACCAAAAGGAAGGCTCTTTCTCAACTCGAACACCATTAAGAAGATGCATTCCCTGCTTTTCTTCTCTGCAAAACGCTGGCAATACATTTATATCGAAAGTTTAATGGCATTGGATTAAAAAACATGCCCAGCAAGTAGCCTCACAAAAAAAGTATATGTTTCACTTCATAGAAAAAAAAAGGTTTCTCTTCTCGATTTCTTCGAATGCATTTGTAAGTTTGTTTCAACGCAATTTGAAAACTTGTTTCTGTATTGAAAAGGATATCTTATAAACAATCTCCCAAATCATACCAATATATCACAGTTTAAGAAACTGTTTGCCCCGACACAGATAATATGTATGCATTAAAAAGTTTTCATAGGAAAAATCATACAAATAAAACTTCTGTTTCAAACAGTTGTTTCAAAATTCAATCCTATTTTCTGTCGTAGTTGTTTCCGTAAGATACGTCACTAAAACCAAACGCTAACGCCTGATCTATTTCGGCAATGAGTTATATTATATACATCTGTTACGTCGCCGCCTGGTATTCACTTTTGGTACAAGTAAAAACAATTTCCTAACTAAACAGAATTTTGACGTTCTCACTGACCTTACAAGAAGTTAAAATTCATCGAATGCGGCTAGTGCATAACTCCAATACTCTATACGGGTAAAAAAGGACAGATCTAAATAAGGTGGCGTTATAAAAGTAAAGCCAAGCTCTCTGGCGGATATATATAGACTATGGGAACGATGACGTAACGCGGTCGGTTCCAGAGCCGCCGGTGACTTTCATCACGACCTTCAAATGATCGCACTTGTCTCTATTTTAAAACAGTCAGAACTATAACATGTACAAATACACATTTTATATTCCTGTCGTCTGGGCGTGGACTGGTTAAAAAATAATGTTAATTCTAAAAATATAGGAAACGGACATATTTGAATGCCAGGTCTGTGTGCCAGGCAGCACAGGCGTTTGTATTTTTACCCCAAGCACAATTTCTAGGATTAATTTTTTTCGATGGATAACGTTGCAATTGTCAATTGTCAAAAAATATAAACTTAGATACCCAAGACATACTTGACAATTTCAAAATGAAAGTGATCATAACTAAAAACGGAATTAAACAATTAAATAATCAAGAAACAGAAAGAGCATTCTCCATAATCTGAACCACAAGTTTATCGATAGACAAGATACCAATAAAATGCGAAATATGTTGAGAATCGGTTGTACATAAACGCAGATTTAACCACTACATGAGACGTTGTATTGACGCGAAAAACATTTCACGGGTTTCAGGTTTGTTAAAATCAAGTTCGACAGATTAAATTTGTACTCTTCACGATAAAACACAAATCATTTTACGTTTTTTCCTTTATTTCGCTCCTAGGTCCTGTGATGAGAAGTATCCTCATCTTAACGGGTGTTTTAAACATGCTTTCACTCTACTATTTGATCCTATTGTATACATTCGCCAGTTTTTCGTTAAGCTAACATGACATGGAATTCCGGCTCTTTGATGTAATACAGACTTCGGCAGCAAATTCAGTTTGTGTTTTTTTTTTATCTCTGTCTTTCTCGCTTTCTCCCTGCCGCTTGGTTCTGGCGTCC